TGGCCCCGGCTCCGCCCCAATTTCAGGCAGGTGCAGAGGCAGTAAGCGCCCCTCCCCCGCTCCCTTCCCCTCAGCTCCCACCTCCCAGCAGGAGGCGGGTGGGCCTGGCTCTGGAGTCTCCTCTCCCTCACGAAGCTTTGCCCTTGCAGTTTTTCCTGAGCGACTCAGAGAGGACGCCCCCGCCCGCGGGCAACATGTCCAACGCCAGCTCCACCGGAGACCAGGCCGCCGAACAGCGCGCCCGGAGCTTGTTTTTCCTCCCGGTAAGGACGCTGCGGGGCCCCCGGCCTCTGCCGGTCACTCCCTGCCTGTGCCAGCCCGGCTCTGTGTGGCCCTCTCGGCCATCCGCTCAGGCTCACTTTCACTCCGTGCTGGGCCGCTGGACACGCGGCTTCCCGCGGAGAGCTGCGGTGCCCGCACCCGGTTCTGAGTCTCCGCTGCCACCTCCGCCTTGGTCCCCTACCTGCCGCTGCCGGACCGGGCAGCCGCGCCAAGGTGGCCAGGGCTCGGCTCAGCAAGGTGCCATGAGCCCACGGCGGGCCGGCTTGGGCCGGTTCAGCTGTGCCGAACTAGGGTCTCACGGCTGCTGGGCCCCAGTGGACCATCAGTCTCAGTGCCTGGCTGTGGGGTGCGGTGGCCCCAAGTCCCGTCCACTGTCGCCACCCTTGCTAACTGACCCAGCTGACCAGCGCAAGGGCTGTGTCCATCTTTAAGAGCAGGTGCTGATCCACTGTTTGCTGCACGCTAATTTCTTTCTTCATCTATTATTTGTATTTTTAAAAAAGATTTATTCACTTATGCACACAGAACTGGGGTGCAGAGGTGTGGTGGGTGAGAGGGTTCCCCATAGACAGAGTGGGGAGCAGAACAGGCTGATAGACAAAGTACACTGCTATGGGGAGCAGCGGGGGACAGGAGAAGTCAGCCTGCCGGTCAGCTCCAGGGCTGGGTCGAATGTGCTGCAGCGGCTATGCAGAGCTTGAAATGCGACGCTTCAGCCCGCTGCGCCACCCGGGGGCCCTGTTATTTGTATTTTCAAAAAACACCTTGCCGCCCCCTTTCCCTTTCTGAATAGTGCCCTAAAGCAGCCCCGCGTGTCCCCATTTCCAACCCACACGGGCTTTGAGCGCTAAGCCAGCCCCTCTGGTGCGCTCTGAGTGTCCAGGCTGGGACTCGGAGCCTCGGGAGCAGAGGGCCCTTTCCTCCCCTCCGTACTGGGCTTGGGCCCGCCGACCACTCACTCCCGTCTGCAGGGAGCATGGGCCGCGGCTCCTGGTGTCCCCGGGAGGCCCCGAGTTTCCCCGGGCCTCCCGCCAAGGTCCACTGCAGAGCTGTGGGCTCTGGGCGCCAGGAGGCGGGGTGGCATCACCCTCGGCGCCTGCCCAGGCGTCAGGCCTCCGGGCAGCCCCGTACAGTGAGGGGCGGGGCCCCAGGAGCGCCTGCCTGCACTGTGCTCTCCCGTGTGCAATTCGGAGCTGCCCTGTTGGCGAGACTCATACTAGCTGCCTGGACATCCCCGGGAGCGGCCCTGTCCACTGGCCGGAGGCGCCAGAGCCACACCCCCGGCAGCCTGCTGGGGCTCTCGGTTTGAGGGTCAGCGGCGAAGATGCCTTTTCCTAGAAGGAAGCATCCGCCGGGACAGCTGTAAACAATCTCGGCGTCTCCCAGGACGGGGCAGAGGAAAGTGCCTGCTGGCTGCCCACGGCGCTGAGCCGCCTGGACCAGCGTGCATGCGGCCGGGGCCTCGCGCCCCTGGCAGGTGCCCAGGCCTCCTCGCAGGCTGTGGCGCCCGACCCCAGCCCGGCCCCTGCACCACGCCCTTTCTCCCACCGCCGGCGCCACGGCGGCCGCTCTCCCGTGTCACCTCTGGCCTCTGAGAGCGAGAGGCCAACAAGAGCTTCCACCCGCCCTGGCTCGGACTCTCAGTGTTTAGGGACACGTCGTTCCGTTTTCAAGAAGCAAGTAGCGTTCAGTCCTCCGTGTAGGCGTTTAAAGACTTCTGAACAGTGCGCGCCAGGTGCGCGTGGCTCATCACCGTGGGGCCGGTCTGGCCTCCCAGTGTCACCAGGGTTCTTCGCGTCAGATATGCTGGGTTCAGGGACCCAGGAGAGGAGGCACCTGCTGGCGGCTCTGTGCTCCTCTCTGGGGGTGGGGCCCAAGGTGTGGGGCGGGGCCTGGGCACGGGGCGGGGCCTGGGCACGGGGCGGGGCCTGAGGCGCCGGGCGTGTCTCCCAGTACTTCATCTACAGCTGCATCCTGGGGCTGATCTCCTGCTCTGTGTTTCTGCGGGTGAACTACGAGCTGAAGATGCTGATCATGACGGTGGCCCTGGTGGCCTACAGCACCATCCTGCTGCACACGCACGCTGGCCTCCTGGACGGATACAGCCAGGTCCTGTTTAAGAGGTAACGTGTTTCCTACAGGGATGGCGAGGACATGGGTGTGCGGTCAGGGAGAGGCTTCTGTGCAGCGGGGCCGGGAGGGTGGGGCGGAAGGGCGGCTCTGAGGCCACTAGGTGTCCTGGAACGGGAGGCAGGAGTTAGAGACCTGTGCTAGGCTCGTGTACCATGGGACACGGGAAGGGCCATGACACAGTGGGTGTGGGCACTGGGCTGGGTGTGGGTGGCCGGCTGTGAGGGAGTGCCCTGCAACGGCCATGAGGGGTGAAGTCCCTGGAGACACGCCCGCCAGCAGAGTGTCCCCGCCATTCAGCGGTGCCAGCTGTGCGGGTGAGCAGGACCTGGGTTCCTCGGCCGCAGCAGCACTGCCGACTTGCACTGAGTGTTTGGCCAGGGGACTCTTCAGTGCCTTGTAGGACACTGGGCAACCTCCCTGCCTCTGACTGGGTGCCAGCTGCACTGCCCCACCCATTCATGACCAGCAGGTGCTTCTAGGTGCCTCCTCCGCACACCCTCAGAGGGCAGAGGCCGCCAGGCCAGGCCAGCCAGAGATTGGAAAAGCCAGTCTTGGTTATGGCCTCTCGCGCAAGTGCTTCTGTCCTCCTGGAAATTTCCTAAAGTCCCCGTGTGGAAGAAGTGCTTTTGAGTGTGGCAATTCTCTGTTCTGTGAAGAAATTGATTTCCGAGAAAAGATGGGGCCGGCTTTGCTCTCCCCGCCCTAGGCCCGGGGAGGATGGGCCTCTTCTGCCGGGGGCGCGAGCAGCTTCCCCTTGGCAGACGGTGCCCGTCGGTTTACAGTGAATGCATAGTGCCTGCTCGAAGCTTGAATCCTCCTGGCATTTTCCACTTCACATACTAATAGCAGACCTGCTTTAGATCAGGGGTCAATTTGTTTCTGGGCGCACCAGGCTTCAGCCGCTCTCTGGCTGCCCGCGTCGCCGCCCACATGCCCTGCAGCTCTGCGCCAGGGTGCCCCGCGTGTCTGCATGGCAGCGTGGCTCCGGGGAGAGGCCTGTGTGGCAGCGCGACCCTCGCCTCTGCTGGGGGCTGGCGTGCTCGACGACGCTGCCGCGGCTGGACAGGCGTTTCTGCCCCCGAGGGCCTGGGCACACGCCGTGGCGCCTGCCCTCTGCACCAGCGTGGTCCTCACGTCCTCCTTCCACGGAGCCCGAGCATCTTAGCCACGCTTAGGGCAAGGGCGTGGCAAGAACAGAGCCGTGTCAAGGAAATTTTGTGACATTTGGCCAGACAAAAAAGGACCCAGAAGTTAATTTTCTGATAAATTCGCAAAACCGCCAGCCAAACGTGCTTCTCGACGGTGTCCAGAGCGCCCGTCTCGAGTATCTCCGTGACTGGATCGTCACCCATTTGTGCACCAGGCTGCTCGCTTTCCCTTATTAAATGTAAAGCTGCTGGAGACACTGCACATTCCCCGGGGAAGAAGTGGTCAGCAGGCTGCGGGCGGGAGGCAGGCCTGGGTGCGTGACGGACGCCCCGCGGCGGGCCCCCGCGCGGTCTGCAGTCGCTAGAGTGGAGGAAGGGAGTTTAACTTCGAGACCCGTTTCCTTCAGGGCCTCATCTCAGGTCGCCTCTGCAGGGCAGGTGCTGTGCGAGCAGCCCGAGACCTGCGTCACTCCCCACGCTGAGTGTCCACCCAGGAGCGCCCTATGCCCGGAGCTCCACCTTGACCTTGACCTTGAGCGCTGGCCCTTTCTGACCCATTCCTGCCCGACCTCCCCAGCGCCCGGAGCCTTCCTCCGCAGAGAGCGAGAGCGACTGTTGGTGTGCAAGAGCTCAGCAGCTTACACTCAGCAGCGCTTCCCAAGGGGCAGGTGAAGGCCCCGAGGCAGGAGCGCAGAATGGCCCCTTGGCTTCTCCCGCGAGCCGCATCTGGCAGCATCTGGCACCCAGACGTCGCGGGGGGCTTCCTCTCATTTCTGAGACTCGAGATGCTCAGACTCGAGAGATTCGCCGTCAGAGGGCAGGAGGCTCCTGCCCTATTCACCCGGTTGTCGTTAACAAGACTCTCCAAGGTTTAATACAGAATCCTTAAGAAAGGAGGAAAGCAAACCCTCCCCTCCGGGGCGCCGCCTTGAGAGTGAGCTCCCTGAGCCCCAAGGCCGGGGCCTTCCCAGATGGCCAGGCCGCCCCCTCCCCTTGCTGGGAGGCTGGTTGCTGGTCCGGCCCCTTGCCCCTTGGCTTCTCGGGCCTTGTTCTGGCCTCTGGGACTGAGCTTGCCTCTGGCCACCGGTGTCCCAGCTGCCTGCTGTGGCCTCTGGGCTGGCCCTCCTCAGTATCGGCCACCCCTGGCGCCTCAGCCTGGCGCACTGGGTGTCTTGCTTCAGCCTGGCAGGTGGGGCGAAGCCCCCCAGGGCCCTGGTGGACACTGGCCCCCTCTGTGACGTGATGCTGAGGACTTTGGCGCCCTCCACTCGAGGAAGGAGCAGGCGTGCAGAGTCTGTCCACCGGGCCATGCCCACGCCGCCCTCACCTCCGTTGTGTGCCTCTGGCTATCACGGCGCAGGAAGCCCGGGCCTGCTGGTTCAGAGGGTCCGGAGAAGGCATCCTGGTTCTCGACATTTACAGACACCCGCATCTTGTTTCTGAGCTTGAGGCGCTCCTGGTTGGTCAGTGGCAGTTCCAGTTCCTGTCCTGGGCAGCCTTGCAGGTCCAGTGCCCTGGCGGCGGGGAGCCCATGGTCTCGGACGCGCTGGAAGCTGCTTCCATGGGGCCCTGCCGAGCCGGGAGGCGTCGGACTTGGCCTCTGCCTTGTTTCTTGCAGAACTGAGCCGTCTCGGGCTGGGCTGGGGGTCATTTCCTGTGGCCCAGCCTTGACGGTTCTTCCACCGGAACGCTGGGAAGGT